TTGAGTGATACTGAGCGATATTGAGTGATACTGAGCGATTTTAAGTGATATTCAGCGATTTTGAATGATACTCAGCGATTTGAGCGATGTTGAGTGGGTGATGGAATGAGTGACAAGACGACCGAGAGAAGTCACGCCTCACCTGATGCTGGAAGAGGGCGCCCTCCTTGGCCAGGGCCCGGACCAGAAGCATGGACTGCACGAAGTGCGCGCGGAGGTCGGCCGTGCCGTGCACCAGCAGGAAGCGCTTGTCGCGCAGGTTGCCGGCCTTCTTGCTCACGTCCGCGTCCTCGTAGCCCCGGTAGTTGTCCGTGACGTTGGGGGTGCGCAGATAGCGCTCCGCGAACACCGTGTCTGCAGGCCGAAAGGTAAGACATGGCTAAATCTGAACTGAAGAGAGTTACTCCGAGTCCGAGAGGTGTGTGCAGAAGTAGAACTCCCGGATACCGACCGTAGTGAGCCCAGCTGGTGATGGGTGCGACGGCAATGCCGCAGGCGAACACCCCCTGGTCCTGGCTGAGGATCATGGCGGTGGAGAAGCCGCCGTAGCCACGACCCCACACGCCCACCCGGTCGCGGTCGACGAACTTGAGGTTCTCGCTGAGGTACCTGCTCAGGGAATGCCCAACGGCATGAGTTTGAAAAGCATGTGGGCGGGGGAAGCGTGGCAGGCTCCCTGTTATGCGGTTTTCACTTGCTCACTTAATGACTGCGATCTGGTCCTCCAGCTCCACCGTGCCGAGGCGCATGTAGGGCTCGTACAGGAAGCGGTCGCTCTGGAAGCCCGACCCCCGGCCGTCGATCTCCGCCACGATGTAGTTGCGGTTGGAGGCCAGGTAGGCCGAGTAGTCGACGGCCCAGCGCTGCGACACGAGCTGCGAGCCCGGGGCGGCGTCCCTGTCGATGCAAGACGTTCAGTTGACAGACTCGCAGACCCACCGAGCCGAGGCAGGGGTGTGCGCGCACTTACACGTGGAGCACGAGCGGGAAGGCCACCTCCTCGTAGTCCCTCAGGCCGGGCGGCAGGAACAGGCGCACTTGGGCGTGGTACTCGTGGTCGATTTGCACCTGCGAGAACAGGGATGGGTAAGTCAGGCGACTCAAAAGGAACACAAGAACACAGCAAGGGCGTCTCTGAAAGCGCCTGTACCTGGAAAGTCTTGATCTGCGGGCGCGCGCGCTTTTTGTACAGCTCTCGGAGGCGAGAATTGTGCTGCAAGTTGAGCAGCGGCAGGTTGGTCGCCGCGTCAACCAGGATGGCATCGGGGACTTCAGGACCTGAATCGACGGTTGCGTAGAGATTTTTTAACGTTTTAGTGACTGAGTGAAAGTCTCACCGATCGGTTGTTTCCGGCCGTCCGACTTACCGAGACACTCGAGAACGTAGAAGCGGTGTCTCGACCCGGGCGGGAACAGGGCGTTGCTGAAGAGGCACGAGGCAGAGGTAGGGTTGCCCCACTGCCAGTCCCAGACCGTCTCGTTGGTGGCGTTGAGGCTGACGGGGGTGGGGGTGGTGGCGCCGGGCAGCGGCAGCTCGCCGTCGTCCACCACCTTGCCGGCCTCGTCCAGGACGGGGGCGGGCGGCGGCCGCGGAGGGCAGGTGAGGCACAGCCAGCTGGGGCCGAAGGACCTGTCCGCCGAGCCGGCGGTGGTCGGGGCGGACGCGGCGGCTGCGTCCCCGGCAGGGAGGCCCAGGACGTCGGCGACCCGGTAGAGGTGGCGCTGGTCCGGGGCGTGCGCGGGGGCCGCCTCGAAGTACCTGCGAACGCCAAGGCCATCGTCGTCAGTGTTGGTGCTCCTGCCGTCGACATATAGTTATGGTCTGACGGTGTGATGAACACTTACACCAGGTGGTTCTCCTGGTCCCACGCCACGAGCCTGGTGACGTGCATGGGCCCGTGCGTGAGCGGCTGCACCGCCACCGTGCCGGGCTGGCCGACGGCCACCTGCACCACCTGCCGGTACGAGCCCTGGTCGCCGTCGTTGACTGGGAGGCGCGCCACGAGCCACGAGCCGTCGGCCGAGAACACGGGCGCCTGGTACACGTCCACCCACATGTGGGAGCGGTCCTCGTACACCTGCGGGGAAAGGAGGACAACGTCAGCGATACTCCGGACGAGCGGAGCAGCGGGGTAGCGCCGCGTGTGGGCGTCCACCCCCAGAGCAGCGGGCGACACTCCACGACGCACTCCACTTGGCGCTGCCGCTCAAGCTATCCAACCGGGTACACAACACTTGGTACACTCACGTCGTCGCAGTTCCAGGCGGAAGACCACCTGCACACGGAGATGCACGACAGATTCTGCCCCCGGTTCATCCAGACCACGGAGAAGGACTGATTCGAGATCCACGTGACAGCGGTAAAGTAGTAGTCGGACCTGAAGTAAGATGGTGCAGGGTGTCATTCAGCGCACCAAACACACAACCGTGATCGTAAAAGATGAAGTGGAGCTGGAACTTACGCCGCGCTGGTGATGCACGGCGGAGGCTTGAGTTCCACGGGCGCCTGCGGCCCCGCGGAGCCGGCGCTGTCCAGGGCCAGGAGCCTGAGGGCTACCTCGGGGTTGGGGGTGCCGGCCTGGGGGCAAGTTGAGCTCTCGTTAGCGTCGGGATCGGAGGAGGAAGAGGTTGCCAAAGCGACTCTACGCAGAATATGGGACGTACCTTGGGGTACCTCAGCGTCCGTATCTTGGGGTACTTGAGGCCATCCTGCAGCCCGCCGTACCAAGGGTACTTGAGCTCCCCGACGCGCGTGTCGTTGAACGAGGCGAAGAGCAGGTACTTGGCGTCGGGCGAGATCCAAATGGCCCGGTTACTCTGGAGGATTTCCACTAAACATGGAAATGTAGAGTGAGCGGTTTTCAAAAATAAAAAAAATGACACAACAGATGTTTTTTTTTAGAGTAGGCGAATGTGCTCACCCTCGTACAGCCAGTCCGGGATGCCATTGAATACGACGCCCTGCTTGCCGGAGCTCGTCAGCCGCACCACGCGGCTCTGCGCCGACCCGTTGGCCTTGTAGTAGATGTCGTTGTCCTGCACCAGGATCAGCTGGCTGCCCGTCGGCCCCCACTCGGCCAGCTGCAAATGGCGGTGGCCACCACCGTTCGGCTCGTCGGTCTCGTTGACGCGCAGCGGGTAGCGGCTCCTGGGGAAGGACAAGAAGAGCATGAATAGGGGCGCGACGTATTCCTCAGAAACAATCCACGACTTTTCCAGCAACTTACTGAGAAGCCACCTCGAAGACGGTGTACTTGGCCTCATACGAATAATCGAATACCTGCCAACAGAGGAATTGGAGGTTTCAGACAACTTTTAGAGTTTTCCTATTGCTGTGTAACAAAAATTAATAACAAAGTTTTCCAAACCTCACCTGTTTCTTTTCAGAAATGAGCAAGACAAATTTTAGGTCCCTGGACACTTTAAAATCAACCGCATTGAGTTGTCTCTGAAAACAAAAGAGAGAGAAGGAACGATCAGTACATCTTGGCGGAGAGAAACAACTTCTCGGTTGTGCGGCCTATTTAATGATACTTACAAAAGTGGAGTTAGTCATTATTACTCTAGAGTTGAGGCTGGCCGCGTCCAGCACGCTGAGCCCGTTGTAGGCGTCGCGGTACACGAGCTCCGTCTCTGCAACAACAAGAGAAACAAATGAATCAGATTCTCTAGGCTCGCGCCGCGGCAGCAAGAACAGCAAACAAGGGACTATGGGAAGGCCGGTG